TTATATTGAAATTTTTGATGATAAGTAAGATCTTCGAAAGAACAGGGGGAAGAAAATGAAAATTACCGACGAAGGAATTACTATTTACGGCCTGAAAAGCAAGTTCCTTCACGATATAGCCCCCTGAAGGTAATTGAAACCCCTCGAAATCTATAACGACAGCAGACATGTTGAGTGATTGATATCATTAACTAAAATGAAATTATCGCGGTTGATACACGTAATAAGTATCTCCTGGAAACAAACCTGTACGCATGCGTAATGACTCATCCGTATCACTTTTTAAATCTAGTAATAAATAGGAATATGGTTTAGATGTTGCATCTTCAAAACTTTCTAGAAAAAATTTCGATTTTGATGGATATAATTGTCTATCTAAATGAGCTATTTGAGATCGATCTCTTGGATTTTTAAATATTACTAAGTAATGTGAGTTTAAAGAAATTTCCCTCATTTCTTTTCCTTAATGAAAAATATTTTGAACTATGAAAACAATTGAAAGATTTTGATGATGAGAACCTTTTGTAAACATTTTAGTTAATTTCGAATCATTACCTAGCTCACTCATTAAATCATCGATGATAATTAAAGTATCAGTCATTTTATTTAGATTGGAAGGGATTCCTTCATTGAATGTAACCCCATGCATTTCAGTATAAAGTTTTTGAAAAACACCATAACACCAGATTATATTTTTTGGAAACGGTTTAATCATTCTGTGATTTATTAGATCCTTTACAAAATGTGTTTTACCACACCCTGCCACGATCATCGTGAACGGAGATCTTAATCTTAACGTATTCATCGTAAACACATTTGATTATTAATTGTGAAATAAGTGAATATCAATGAAACTATACCAATAATCATTTGAAAAATAAAAACTGGAAGAAAGAATGAAATAAAAAAAATAAATAAAAAACAGAGATCTTACTTTTAAAATAATATAAGGAATTACGTTCAACAGCTAAGGAAAAATTTATAAGACTTGTATTTAGTTGAAATAATTAATATGTAGCAAGTCTGTTCAAGAGTTATGTTCGATGAAGTGAATTTAATTTACACACAAAATTATTTAAACAAAAATTTTTTTATTATTTTTTTAAGAAAGAAAGAAAACAAAACAATGTTACTTTCAATGACTGTAGTATGTACAAAAACATCATTCAAATGACTGTAGTATATACAAAAAAAGTGACTTACAGAAGGCAGTGATGACCCAAAGCAACAGTACTGATTTTATCTTCATTAACGTGACGTTTTTGATCATGCGGGGATAAGGCTAGTTTATTCATTGATAAACTGAATAAATTATGCTTCTTTGAACGGATACAATTCATTTTTACTAACTGCTCTTTGTTTTCAAAAAGACATTTTATTATAATCTTCGAAATTAATTTTATTTTCAACTGCGGATCGCTTAACCCCTTTTAATTTTTTTGTTACCTCACCTCCGACTTTGTAAGCGTAGATTTTTGATCTTAGTCCGATAAACTCAGTCATAACTTTCCCTTTTGTCTCGTCTTTCATTTTACCTAATACCTTCTTGTTAATAAGGGGAATTTTGTAAACATTATCTGCAGGATATTCAGATGTGTCGAATCGATCTATTTCTTCGAGCATATCCTTATATATATCCTCAGTTTGAATATTATATATAAAACTGTCCGTGTCAGTATACAACAGTTGTAAGGAATTTGTATATTTCTGCCTCATATAACCATAGTGAAACTCGTACATTAAAGTTTTAGAAAGATCTAAAATTGCCATACCAATTGTTATTGGTTTCGTAAATTTGAGAACTGTTTTTCTCATATGTAGAGCAATTAGATTTTCAGAAAAAATTGTTCTATCCTGAAAGTTTGATCTCGTAATCCATTTCTCTGCGTTTTTTGAATTATTGGAAAGTTTTACATCAACACGTTTGCGAATATTTTACATTGTCTTACCAAAGACTGCGTTATTCATTAGTTTATAAAAAATTTTTTGGAAATCATTTGTCGCTGATTGACGGAGTTGAGTGTTTAAATCAATATATTCCTTAAGCCAAGGTGATTGCTCAAATTCCAAAACGCGGTGAATTGTTTTTATAACTAAACCGAATTTAACAAATTGTTTTAGATTTCGGTAATGCAAGACATATTTTTCTTTGTCATTCAAAGTAGTTAAGAGACGCTTTTCTTTACAACCAGGAGGTATACAAGTTTCAGGCGCAAGGGGTAAGTCCAAATGATCATCATGGAGATCGAAAGGGTACATGAAGTCCACTTCAAGAATATATCCAATCGTGTTATCGTCGGGAATTTTTAAAATTTCTTCTATCGTTTTATTGTTTACCCATTTATATCCCTTTAAAGGGATATATTGGGATTGGGCCCACCCGTAGAGATTGTTGGCATCGATATAAAGTAAATAATTACTTGATAGATTTTTATCGTATTGATCAGATAAAAATTTATTGTTTGCTATGGCATATCGATGTGAACATTGTGATATACCTCCTCTTACACCTTTTTCAATAAAAAGAAGCATATCGCAGTCGGTTAAAAGCTCTATTTCCACTTTAGTCTTTCTCAACATTGAATCCCACGAAAGGCCTGGGGCAGTGTAGTACCACGTGGGGTCTAAACCATATGTATCATGACAGACATTTCTAAAATTATCAAATATGCCTGCTAATAGCAAAACGTCAGTCTTGACATATAGGTCGGAATATTCCCCCAAATTTCTAATACTGAAGCTTTCCCATATTTGCTGAGCATGTTGATATTTTTCATCACTAATGTGACACTCATTTAGTTTACTATAAAAATCTTGTTTAGGGGGTAAAGTTTCAATATTAAAGCATTCCGAATTGTTAATGAAATCGTATGGGTATATAACTTTGCGTAAAAGTAAAGGAACCTTTTCTAAAGGAAAATGACTTTTGATATGTTTAAATTTATCGGGAGTTTCTGCAAGATTTTTTACTAAAGAATCCAAACTACTTGACATAAAACGAAACGAATCTAAAAATCTAAGAGTTATTTTTCCTTGCGTCTTTTCAGAAATTGAGATATATTTCTCGGTGTTTTCGGGAATGATAGAAATATCCCCATCATCAGAGCCTAACTCACTAACAAAAAGGTGACTATCATAACCTGATAAATTATGAAATATAATTGGTATAAAATCAGGTACCGTTGCTTTAAGATTACATTCGTTACGACTAGGTCCCCTAAATCTTTGCGTCAGGTGGCAGTGGTCTTTTACCTAAAATATAAAATATTTAATCGGTCAACTAAAAAGAAATATCATAGCCTTTTCTTTAATTTCTAAATGTAAATGAAACTATATATATATATAATAATTCGAGTTTGTGCAATAAATTTAATGCTGTTGCTATTTATGTAAACATGCTTATAGACTCTAAATATCATAGTCCATTCTTTAATTTAAATGAGATCACTTAAAATCATGTACACTTACCCTTTTACAAAAATAAAGAAATTGTATGAAAAAAAAAATTTAATCTAAAAGAATAGAATTAGTCGAAAAATATAATTTATTAATTTTTTTTTTTTTAAAAAAAAAAGTTCTATTTAGCATTTACTTTTATGATTTTCTAATGTGTAAACATATTTATAAACATGTTAAACACTGTATTAAATATATAGCTCTATTTTTAAGAAGTACATCTTAACAAAAAAAAATATTATTAAATAACTTTATAAAAATAAACATACCTTATAATTAGATTCCGTGAAGCGTCGGTTACACATATAACAAGTTTCTGCCATTGTATATGCTACAAATTCAGCATCTGTTAAAGGAAACATTGGTAAAGGATTCTTATATTTGGATTCGATTAATTTAGCTTCATCTTATAGCATCCTCATGAAGACGGGTACGGCATCAGCACCACGAGAGACTACTGGAGGTTTATATTCTTTACCAAAATATGATACATAGTAGCAAAAACTTATAGCTTCATGCTTTTGATATAATTCCGTGTAGGAACTCTGTGAATTTGGACAACATGAAGCTATAGGTTTGGTTAGACATTCAAAATCAGCATAAATTACGAATGGTATTTTATGTATATGCTTAAAGTTCTTAAAATGAATCCATTTTTCTTTCTCTGTAGGCATTAAAACACGGACTGCCTCATGACTATCACAGTTCAATCTGTGCTCATTTAAGTTTCTTTCTGCTGTAAAAAATTGCAAACACCTTCGGCAGATAAATTTTTTGCCGTCGTGGGAGGAATATTGTGATGTTAAAAGTCGTGATAAGTTTTTGACGTAACAATAATGGGATGTCGTTAAAGAAGTTATAAACAGTAAATCAATATGAACTTCCTTTTCCTTTTTGGTGATATACAAGGGGTAAAAAATGTTTTTGACATTAAATCCATATACATTTATAGAAATGTTATTTTTGTTTTCAAATTTGAATACATCTTGAAGTTTTATCGGAAACTCAAGACCAGAAAAGTCCAGTTCATTTACGAAAGTCGCATATTTTTCGACTCTATGGGCGTTATCGATCTGTGGGTGCAAGGCGGCGAGAACCGACCACATAAAACATTTGCTATCATTGTTTCTCACATTTATAACAGCTTTTTTCTTCTCAATAAATTCTGGAAGCTTAATAAATGTAGAGCCGTGTAGAGGATTGTATTTATTTATTCTTACTTCCAAATAGAGTATTTTGGAAAGAGTCCAACCACTGTCCTTTTCTTCGAATTCGGAAGATTCGGCCAGGAGTTTATCTTTTTTGTTGTCGAATACCTCGTTCAAATCTGTCGAGGGTACGATGATGCAGTTCCTGGTTTTAAAATTTTTTTCTTCTGTAACCACACCACCACTTGACAATTTATCATACAGACACATGAGAAGAACGTTCACCTTTAGATTTGTTTTTTCAAGTTCTTCGGAAATCAACTCCAAAAAGGCCTTTCGCTTCGATTCTAAATAATCTCCTATATCAGTAAAATTATCATCATTATTTAAGCGTATAGATTTAATTCTTCCTTCAAATGCTTGCATTAAAGCTTTTATTGTAGTAAGCTTTTCTATAAGTGCAGTTGGTTCATTAATTACTTTGGATGGATCTGATGAGAATTCTGCTGATGTCGATGCTTCTTGTAATGTTGGGCGTTTCGATGAAGATTCCTCTCTTACAGGACTACCTTTCCTTTTTTGTGGTTTTGAATGCATTTTTAAGTGACGTTTTAAAATGTCTTTTCTTTTGAATGTTCTATCACAGTCCAAACATTTGAATTCGCTATTTCCATGTTTAGTACGCACATGCCTTAAATAATTACTTCTTACAGTAAAAGTATAATTGCACTCATTACAATGATGATATTTATCCATTTTTTTTTAAAGTAAGAATTTTAGAAATAAAAAATCAAAATATAACTATATGACAAGCATAATAGAAAAACTCCTGAAAAATTATATGAAACTACATCAACAAATGCTAAAATAACTTCACACACACTATGACAACGAAGGAAACTGCATTTGTGAAAATTTTTAAACTTGTTAGAGGTTAGTCAGGTTAAAACTTATTTGAGAAAGAGGTTTCCAAGTAGTGACATACCACACAGTGTGATATACCACATAGTGGAGCTATTGTATTGTAAATCGGTATTGATTTTTCCGGGATTTTCAGGTATTTTTTCTTCTTCTTACAACGGGAGTGTTGTGATGCATAAATCACTTAGTAATGATAACAGATAGTGCGTGTTATTATTTATTTTCTCCTTTAGTTATTAAAAGAAAAATAATAGTATTTGAAATATTAAAAAAAAACGTGAGGTATATTAGATTTTTGCTTAATCTAATCTAATAAATAAGTTTAGAGAAATGATGCTGCTATACATTTTAAGAGTTAAGTATTTCTAATTTTATTCTTCTTGATTAAAATATAATGAAATCGCTCTCTATGAAATTAAATGTATTCATAATTAAGTCAAATATTTAAACATTGGCATCGATTCCAGTTTCTTAAAAATTTGTCCTTTTCTTTATATGAAGTTTATTAGATATTCTCTAAGAAACCATTAATTAATACAATTAAATTTATTTGTAATCTGATATGTGATGACGTATTGAAACATGTTTTAAAATAACCATGCGTTACCAATATAAAGGATAGCCTTTCGGAAAACTCTTAAATTAATTGGTCTCCATCAAAAGTATAATATTAATAAAAAATACGTCACAGACCAAGACCTCAATCTTGTTTTAACCGGATACACCATGATTTGAAACGAGTCTGGAAATACACGTTACCAGTTTTAAGAATTGCCATTCCGAATTCGCTGCCATCAAAAATATATAAATATTTTTTTAAAAAAAAATGACGTCATTAGAAACTTTTGACATTCGATCCGCACAGTAGGTAACATGGGCAGAAATAAGCTGTTGTGTGCGGTCATTCTGAGATCAACATAAAAATTACCCATAACCGCCTGCGAGTTTAAATTTATTTTATTAAAAGCACAAGTTTTCCTTCGAACGGTATGCGTCCATTGGATACTGGTTAGCGTGCCTGACAAATCAGTATCCAATGGAGGCATTTTGTCCTGAGGGACACGGGTTCGAATCCCGAGTGAAAATATAAAAATAATTTCTTAATTAAATATTTTAATGATTTTCTATTTTAATATAATAAATAGTTTGTTCACAAGATGGCGCCACTAGTATCACCAAGCCTTTATATCTAGAATTAGTTATTATTTCCCTCACTAGATGGAGCCACTAGTATGCAATAATTTCGTTTGGAAACCGAAACTGAGCCGCCTGCTTATTTTGTTAACAGATTGAGTATTGCCACCCATAAATAACCAATCTAAATTAATGTGTGTTGCCATCGCTAAGAAATAATACTGAAATCAAAACTAAAAATAATAAATTCAAGCGGGCAGAAATAGGTGATATACTGCTTTTTAAAAAAAAACGAAACTAAATTAGATGTTGCCACCGGAAGTTAGAAATTTTGGAAACCGAAATCAAAACTAAATTCAGTGTTGCCACCGGAAAATAATAATTTTGGAAACCGAAACCAAAACTAAAGCAGGAGGTGAACAACTCAACTCAGCAGCGAGGGAAACACCTCAACTCCACTCGATCCGCATGTTCCAGAACTGTCAAAACTTACCTACTATAGAGATATAGTAAGGAGTTTGTTGCCGTTGTTACAGTCTTATTTCTCATCTTGCGGACATTTTATTTCCATTAAATTAAATTACCATCTTCAGAATAAAGTCGATCAGGATTATAACCAAACCGTGTCATCTGGTCACGCACTATTAATCCAAAACAGAAGACTTTGACATTTTGATCAGAGGAAAAGATGGATCTCGCTCTTTCTTCCACTTGTTGTCCATGGAAAGTCGAAGCATTTCCAGGAAAAAAATCTTCTGTAGCAGAGGCAACTTTCTTTTTCCAGTCAGGATTCCTATTCCTCCTATAAGTGAAAAGGGAATATCAAGCAGACCCAGTTATACGCTCACAAATCCAACTATTAGAGCCTTGTTTCTGTAATGCTATGTTTCGAACTTCTTGTTTTGTGATGCATACTTTTTCCTCGCCAAAAAGTTTCTCCCCTATCTGAATGATTGATGGAGTGGGCGGAGGATCTCTATTGAAAAACAGCCCCTGCTCCCGTAGATCATTACTCGCCAAATCTTTATGATGCCAAAGACGATAAAGAGTTTCAAATGGAAAACCGATTTACCTCGCTTTTAAGCGACATAGTTGATTAATTCTTCCTTTAGTCGGAGAGTGAAACTTGCGGAATTTTTCGGAGGCGCAAGTGATTTTTAAGGAGAAAAGCTTTCTTATTCACCTCTTATTCTCGTATGAGAAGGGATAAATCAGTAAAAAGTAAAGAAATTTAAGATTAAGATTTTAAAAATAATTTTATAAAAAATTAGTATCATCTGCAATTCAAGACGCAAGCTTTAAATTGTTCGTTCAGTTCTCGTAAAATTATTTTCTCGATCACTCCATCTCTTTAACAAAATAATAATCTTATTTTCACTCTATAAAATTCACTCTTAAAACATACACGACGTTTCGAGTGTTTTTGTCATGGGTACCGTTCAAATGACGAGAAGGGGGGGAACTCCAACTCCGATGCTAACTTTTGGAAGATTTTTCGTGCATTTTTTATACTTAAATTTAAAGGGCATACTGCATTGCATGATCCGATTGAAAATGCTAGGAATAATCAAACTATAGCATTTGCTTTTTTTTTGAAGCCTTAAAATGATTGTGAAAAAAAATCAGTATACCACAATGATAGTTATTTCGTAAAGATGCTACCGTTCATAAAGATGCTTTATGAATAGTAGCATGGTATTACTATAAAGATGCTTTATGACTAAAATTTTCTTACTATGTAATATTCAAAAAACTCATAAACATTAAAGAACTTGATTAAAAATTTTTTTTTTTACAAAATAATAATTAAACAAAAAGATGAAATATTTTTCGAAAAAGATATTCGTGAATTCCTTTTGGTAAAAACTGGCGTGAGACAGGGAAGTGTTTTATTAGGATTTTTATTTATACTGGTGATAGACTGGATTGTGCGAAACAGCTTGAAAGATGAAAAAAGAGGAATAAGGTGGAATTTCACAACTACTTTAGAAGACCTTGATTTTGCTGATGACATCGTACTTATTTCATCCAAATGTACAGACCTTCAGCTTAACCCACTTTGGCGACCTCT